TACTTTTATTTGTCACGGCGTATACGGATAATGTCCAAACAATTTCCATCGCCAGTTGAGCATGAACAAATACGGAACGTTTAAACGAAACGGATAGAAGAATATGAGTGTTCGCAAAGTCTTAGTATGTATTCTGTCCCTCTGTTGTGCGCTTCCAACCGCAAAACTGGATCTAAAGGTAAACAAATATACCGAAAACTGCTCTCTTATACATAGAAAAGTGAGTTCTTTCATTTTCAGCAGAAATTTAACCGTAATTTTCATAAACGTCGAAAAACTGACAAAATGTCCACATTTCAATCTTGACTTATCCTAAGAGAGATATAAAGCACACAGGCATTCGACGTCCAGGTATCTAATACAAGTGATGTTTTAAGGTGTTATATAATTTTTTAAATGGATCCTGGATATACTAATTTGACTTTTGTTGTGAACGCTCATGGTTCTCGGCAATGATTTGACGTGTTTGGGTTATGTTGAGGCCATTACACAGCTGCAGAAGGAAAAAAGTGTCCAAAAAACTCATTATTTAGGTAAATTCGGCTGACAAATATCTTATTTCGAAGGTTTTGATACACACAGAATAACATCTGTATTTATGGACCATCGACTGAAAACTTCTAGCATCGTAATATCTTCATTATTATTTCAAGAACGATCTGGATATTGTCGTAAGCAAACATTCGAAATACTTACAAATAAATGTGACGAGAGGAAATGGTACGTTGACGATTGAACTTGAAAATTCCAGTTAAATTTATTAGTCACTGATCGGCATGCCTTGCTATAAGCTTGTAAAATACTCTTTTCTTCTGACATTCCAAACGGTGTAATTCGACAAAAATCTAGTTGCCTTAGTTCAACGTATCTGGAAGTCACGAAGGAATGAAAATGTTCGCGTCGTCGGTATTTCCATAGAAGTGGAAGAAGGATTTTGGAGTACCAGATCAGAGTTCCCTCCCCCGTATGACGTTTGAATGGCTCCTACCCCCTATAACTGTTGCGTATTTTTTGTGGACACTTTTACCTCTGACGATGGACTTCCGCAAGAGCCCGAAAGCTCAGAAAAATAGAAAAATTGACCCTGTGCTCGAAAACCCTTCTTCCCTATCCGAAAGTGTATAAACACAAGCAAAAACTGGCGATTCTCGTAAAACCATGGTGGAACGCATACTCGAATGTTGGGCTGTTTGCTAATGGCCATACTTCACAGTGCGCGTTATATGGAAAAAAATATTCACACAGTTTTTTCATTGCATGAACTATCTTTCTCTACATTTAAAACTAAAGTTTACTTTATTAACCGAATTTTTCCATTTTTTTCGGAATTTTCCGCTTTTCTCAAAAAAAGCTGACCGTACTTAACACTGTGCTACAGCTACAGCTGCTACAGCTACCTTTAAGGTACGAGAAATGAGGCCCAATGCAAAGGCGGAGCGGGATAAGTGAATTTCTTTAATGGTCGGTGAAAGTTCAGCATTGAGTGCCAAAAATATTATTTCCACAAAGGAGTCTCTTCAGACTTATTTCTACTTGTGCTGCCTTATTCACACTGGTTTTTTGTTTGCACGAACAGGCTTTAATTGGATTTAAACCCTATGTTTACTTAGAAGTCCCGATTTTCGATTCTTTTTTCTCGGAATTTACCGCTTTTCTAAGACAAGTAGCATTTCGAAACAACGCAATATCACTTGATAAAGAGGTGTACGCCTTCTTTTTAAGAACGATCCTACCTCTACTGCCGCTGTAAGGCTTTAGGGAACGTAGCGTGAGCTGTCCAATTTTCCTGGTAAAATTCCTTACATTCCACGAGTTAGGACAGTTACTGCACAGTAGCAGTGCACACTAGAGCTGACAGGTGAATTAATAGTGAGCTAGGTCCTGGCACGGTGCTGATGGGTCCGGCGCCGAAACTGTTGACTCCGGAGGTGATAAGTAGTTTCAGCCGAGCGAGAGAGAGTGCATCATGTGAGGGCCTACGAACTATTTCCGTCTGGCACAGATAATGTTGACGCCCGAATTGCGGAAGTGCGTCTCCTAGGGTATAGTGAACCAATGGCCAACCCTGGAAGCGAGATCATCGTGCGGTACAGTAGATTCCCCATATGAAAGAGAACGTCCGCGTTCCAGGTATTTGTATCGGTAAGGAAGAAAGAAGGTCGAATACGGGAGCGATTTGTTTGTTATTCTGGGCTTTCGGACTCGGATCGCGC